GGTATATGCCCCAGAGCATGAATCCGCAAGCATTCTATGAACGGCCCCAAAATCAGAAGACTATAGATCCTGAACTCTAAAACCCCAACAGTTTCAACCCCAGTCCCAAAATACCTGAACTCTGAAAACCTGCACAAGCCCTACCTGCTCAAAACGCTCCCAAACTGTCGAAGCCCTTAAACGAGCCCCAAATCCCTGACCAAAAATGTGAAATATATTTCCTTTATATATACGTATACTCACACACATGCACACATCTTCGTCGTTAATGTCATTGTTATGGTTGCTTAGCTTATTCTTCTGCGATTAACTCTCTGTTGTTTGTATCTCTAATATGGATGGAAAACCTCGGAACCCCCAAAAGCAGAGACTAACCCTGAACCCTGAACCCTAAACGTTAAGGAATTCCTGGAAGGAAGCCCCCGATCCCGGGAAAAAGTGGCCGCCGAGCGTCGGCGCGCTGATGGCCAGCGTCCGATCCTGGAAGCTCGCCTCCCACAGGTTCTTTTTGGAGGGTGTAGGGTTTAGGGTTTAGGGGTTGTATATATATATATATATATTATATATATATATATATATGTGTGTAGAGGGGTTTTGAAACGCTTTATTGGTTGTAGTTGTACTAGTGCTTCAACTTTAACCCCCAACCCTAAACCCCTAAACCCTAAACCCCCAAACCCTAAACCCCTTTAGAGGTTGGGATTCAAAGTCAAGGCTAGAGCCCTGGACCCGGAATCCTAGAAACGTAAGAATCCTAATGTAGGGGCCTTGATTTGATCATGAGAATAGGGTTTTGGGGTATGTTATACTATAATTGTAATATGGAGCCCCCAAAATAGTATAGCCTATATTACACTTCCAGACCCACTTCAAACCTTTATTTTGGAGCCCTGTAATGGGATACGGGGTTTGACCCTAAACCCTAAAACCCTAAACCCCAATCTCTACAGAGCCGTCGGTTTAAGGCCTTAGAGCTTACCCAGACCCCCAAAAAATCTAAAAAATAGATCCCCTAAAGGGGGTTCCTATAAAGTACCCTTTAGTAGTTAGGGTCCCTAATTAGGGGATCTATTTTTCAGATCCTTTTGGGGGTCTGGGTAGGATTTGGACCTGGGTTTGCAGGGGAAATCTCTGGCCGCCTGATGCCACCACCCGGGAGGTATCACAAGCACCTCGCGGCAATCACGACTTAGGGTTTAAGGTTGAAGGTTTCGGGGTTTCGGGGTTAGGGTTTAGGGTTTAGGGTTTAGGGTTTAGGGTACGACTTAGGGTTTAAGGTTGAAGGTTTCGGGGTTCTCGGTTTAAGGTTGAGAGAGGCGTAGCGTATCTGGGGCCCGGACTTTCAAGGTTTGAGGCTTTGGGCCAAGTTAGGGTTTAGGGTTTAGGGTTTAGGGTTTAGAGTTTAGGGTTTAGGGTTTAGGGTTTAGGGTTTAGGGTTTAGGGTTTAGGGTTCAGGGTTTAGGGTTTTGGGCACTGCCAAACCCGAAGCAGCTGCCCCTACACCGTAAACCCGTGACCCTAAACCCTAAGCCCGTAAACCCGTAAACCTAAACCCTCAACGCAAAATAGGTAAACCCGTAGATCTGACCCCTAAGCCTACACCCTAAAGCAGCTTTTGCGCCTGGGGACTCCGATTGAGAGGCCGGCTTGGCTGGATGGCCATCCGGCAACTTCTAGAATAATTAATCAAGGAGAGACCGCTTGAACTTTAGAGGAGCTCGGAAATCATGCAAGATCCTCTAAATGTGCAGTTTTTAGTTGGTCTAGCTATATCTTCATTCAACAGCCTGCTGGTTGACGGTGTGCACGAAGTCGGCTGCTATTGCAAGATACCAGCATCGCTTTTTTTACTTACTAGCATCCCGGTAAGGAACCCTCACCACCAGCTTCGTGTGCAGGAGAGCACGTGGGATCTGACAGTTGGGATGCCGAGGGCAGAAAGCCGCGAAGGCGGAGACCCTATTGCCAAAAGCCCTTAACCGCAAGCCCCAAATCCGAAACCCTGCCCCAAAACCATGAATTACCCTCCGCCCTAATGTAAGGGCCTTACTAGGTTGAAATACTGTTTTGTGGCATGTGCTACCAAAACTTGATAGGGACTGTGAGGGAGGCCTATATGAAACCATAAACTCCCAATTCTGGCCCGTTCTAAACAAATGTCTCCGCGGAGTTCGGAATCCTGAGGACCTTCACACACCAGACAAGAGGGGGTTCAGGGTTTAGGGTTGAAGGGATCTTTTGTAAGGATCTATAGGGTTTAGGGGCTAAGCTTTGAGACTTCAAGCTAGCGGCTATAGGGCTTCAGGGCTCCAGGCTTCTTGGCTTTTCGCTTCATCGGTTCAGAGTCCAAGGGTTTAGGATTTAGGGTTTAGGGTCGAGGGCCCAGACCCGAAAGTCAAATCAAGCCCGAAAACTTCAGAAGCTCTACGCAGCCCTGTGAATGCAGATTTTACATTACGTATTAGGTGAGGCAGTGTATAGTGCTTGTTATAGGTTATATACTGTACACTAAGAGAGAGAGAGAGAGAGAGAGAGAGAGAGATATATATATATATATATAGAAAGATAGAGAAAGAGAGAGAAAGAGAGAGAGAGAGAGAGATATATATATATATATAGAAAGAGAAAGAAAGAGAGAGAGAGAGAGAGAGAGAGAGAGCCGAAAGAGAGAGCCGAAAGAGAGAGCCTAAACAACTCGAACATGACCTACCCCTCATGTTACCTAAGCCCGAGACCCGACAGATGAAGAAGGAAAGAAGCAACCTCACCCACTTAGGGCTTAGGGTTTAGTTTTTTTGTTAAAGTGCACTAGCCCCCTTGGGGTTTAGGGTTTAGGGTTAGCATACCAAACTGCGGCAGACCCCACGCTTCACATCGTGCATGCAGAAAGTAGGTCCCTGGCAGGTTGAAGCCCAAACCTGTCCACCCTACGCCCCAAAACCTCAACCCCTAAACCCTGCACCCAAAAACCCTCGAACCCGAAACCCTAAACCCTAAGACCTAAACCCTAAAACCCTGAACCCTAAACCCTAAAACCTTAGACCCTAAAGCCCCAGCTCTGAATCCAACCATAGCACCTCACCCATCTCCTGCACCGTCTGCCACACCTCTCCGCCGAAGGCTGCAGCATCTTCCTCTCAAGGAAAAGAAGGCTCCAGGTAGTTTCAAAGTTTAAGGGTTTCGTTGCTTTTTCCAAGAGTTTACGCGTTTAAGGCTCAGGTTTCAGGGTTTCCAGGTTTTTGAAGCTGAAGTAGGGCGCGAACATTTAAATGTCGGAAGCGGTTCAATTGCAGGGCTGAAGAGAAACCAGCAAAAACAGATATCATGAGTGTAGCCGACGTGGTACAAAGACTAGACATGGTGGTGGTGGTGGTGGTGGTGGTGGTGGTGGTGGTGGTGGCGGTGGCGGTGGCGGTGGCGGTGGCGATGGCGATGATGATGATGATGATGATGATGGTGATGCCGGCGATGTAATGATGATCATGAGGCATGAACCAAGGTGATGACGACAACGACGGCGACGTACATGTGGGGATGATGATGACGATGATGACGGCTATTCGCAGGGTGGTGCGAGACCAATGAAGATTGTCATAAGAGTGGTGATGACACCGTTCACGAAAGTGATCGTGATGATGCCGGAGGGATGATACAAACAAGTGTGGCATCAAGAATATCAACCAAGAAACCGCCCATCAGAGCCCCCAAAAATAGTATTGGTACTTATTCAGGCCCCTACACTATCAAGGTTCGTGCTAAAGTTTAGGACAGCTTCGAGGCACCTCCCTTCAAGGAGATCCTAGGGGACCTGTCGTATGCCTAGTGTAGGGGCCTTACTAATTATAATTTAGTTTCGGGGCCCGTTATGCTATGTTGTAATCAGGAACCCTGAGGAATATTTTTTGTAATTGTTTGGGCTTCTATTTTACCTCGGAGGCTGCTATGTCGTACAACTACAGGTGAAGACATGTCCTGACGCAGCGGGAAAAGGCCATGATGTTCAAGGCCCTTTTTAAACCAATGAGTGGCGATGAGGACCGGGCATTCCTGATGGTCAAGCACATGGCAATAGCGACTGACAGATCCTTCAAAAAAGACACAGAAAGACAAGGACAAACTAAAAAGATCAAGCGGGGAGCCTTCAAGCTACCCCGCCACCCCTGCCTCCACATTCAAACTCTTTTGAGGGACCGCGGCGAGCAGTCTGTGGGCTCAAGCGCACCAACTTGATGCCAACTTCCATGTACAGCCTTCGAGTTTAGGGTTCAGGGCCGCGCAGGGTTTAGGGCTTTTGGTAAGGTTCAGGGAGGTTCAGGTGTCTCAAGCCGACAGCCGTGGGATTGGCAGTCGTGGGGATTATTATAGTACATGCTGCTCCGGGAAGTGGACACGGCCGCCCGTGTTGTATGCATATTTCTCGGAATGATAATGAGACATGTCGAACCGACGACGACCTCTCATTTTCTTAACGCAGGCAGGCAGCTGCAAACCGAAGTGGGAAGCATGCAATATGCTTGAACGACAGTGTGCGATCATGGCACTGCTGAGACAGGCAACATCTGAAGTAGGGTTGTCATCAGTAGTCACTATAGTCTCCGTATCAAAAACAACACATACACTCACCAATATTCATAAGGAGCCCTATATAACCCTACTTCACGTGTCCACGCCAAGAGCAACGTGGCGGCAAAGCGCGGATCGACGTTTGATAATTTGCAATTGAAACATGTCCTGCGGACCTTCGCAGACGATGGCAGGGCGGGCTGCGCTGCTCTCAGTGGGTTAATGTGAGCGGTTTAGGGTTTAGGGTTTAGGGTTGGGTTAATGTGAGATGCAGACTGCTCTCATGTCAGCTTTGCTGACATTCGCGGAGAAAGCAAACGATTGAAAAAGCAAAATGCCTGAATACCCTTTGCACACCTGCACAGCAGACTTTTGTGACCTGCTAACCGGCTAAACCCTTGACCCTAAAACCCTGAACCATGGGCGAGACGAACGACTTAGATTTGAAAGAAGCTGCTAGCCACGGCATCTGCCGTAATTCGCTCCGCCTCGGTCGTCTGCCCTTCAAGTGCCTCCAACAGAAACCGCGGCAGCGAATGTCCCCGCGAGAAGTCTGCGGCTGTCCTGGGTTGAGGGTTTAGGGTTTAGGGTTTAGGGGAGAGAAGCTTCATGATGCACGAGATAGCAAATTCACACGAACTCTAGGTGCAATCCTCCTGAGAGGTGCGTGCGATCACAAAACCCAGAAATTTCGACAACCGATGGCGCGCTTCAACACTAAGTCACTAAGTCTTGTCATCCGAGTGTCCAGTTGCGATAGTTGCGAAGGTCCAAGAGAGCCCCGGCAGCTAGGAGCGCTGCAGCGCCCTCGTATTGCCCTGTCATCACTGCCGCCATAAGGGGTGTCTGGTCGTGTCCATGATATCCTGCCATCGTCCCGATGGTCTTCTTCCCGGATCGATACATGGCAGCGTTGTATGCACAGTACAGGCCGTTGATGCCGAAGTACCGGATCTTGTACTGATAGTTTACGTCAGCTTGCTCCTCAACGAGTCGATGCACCAACTCAGGCTTGCCACCACTACAAACCTGGGTTGCTCTTTATTACCTTGCTAAAATTTTAACTTTTAGTACCCCTAATATCAAAAAAGGCTAATCCTAAGGTGATAAAGCTATAAAGTGACTGTAAAGTTCAACCAAGAAACCATGGCAACATAGAGA